GGGGGGAATGGGGACACTGGGAGCGGGGGGGACACCCACCCGGGGGACACCGGGGGGAATGGGGACACTGGGAGTGGGGGGGGCACCGGGGGGAATGGGGACACTGGGAGCTGTGGGGACACCCGCACAGGGGACACGGAGGCGGGGGACACTGGAAGCTGTGGGGATGGAGTTGGCCTCATGGGGACAGTGTTGGCAGTGTTGGCAGGGACAAGGGTGGGGACAGGGGACTCTGGGGGACGAGGTAGAGCCATTGGGACGGGGAAGGTGGCTGGGGGCCCTTGGGGACAGAGGTGGCACCAAGGGCACCGCGGGGACAAGGGGGGTGGCAGCAGGGGCATGCAGGGGACACGGGACTGCCACGGTGGCACGGGGGCACCGGGAGTGGCAGCGCAGGGCGCAGCGGGACGGGGCCCGGGCGCGGCGGGTGGGGGACAGCGCTGGCACCCCCGGTGACGCCCGCGGGCGCAGACGGCGCCAGCCTGGCGGAGCTGCCGCCCGCGCTGCACGAGGCGCTGCGCCCCGTGGCCATGGTGGCCCCCGACGTGGCGCCCGTGGCCGAGGTGCTGCTGCTCACCGAGGGCTTCGGCGACTGCAAGGTACCCATGGGTGCTGCCCGCCTGCCTTGGGCGACCCCCGGGTCCCGTGGGGGCCCAGGGGCCCTCCTGGCGGCCACCTGCAGCCCCTTCGGTGTTTGGGGTCTGTCCTGGGTGGCTGCCTTTGGGTGCTCACGGTCCCTTGCGGGTACCCGCTGCGTGCCTCTTGGGTTCTAGTGCAGCACCTGCACACCCTGTAGGTGCTAGGAGCACCCATGGGTGCTGCCGGCCGTAACAGGTGCTGGCGCGGCACCTGCACGCCCTATGTGTGCTTGTGCGTTGGCTGTGGGTGCCAGGAGCACCCGTGGGTGCTGGGGGCCCTTGCAGGTGCTGGTGCGGCGCCTGCAGGCCCTGTGCGCCATGGCGCGATGCCGTGGGTGCCAGGGCACCCACGGGTGCTGGTGGGTGCCAGGAGCACCCATGGGTGCTGGGGCCCTCGCAGGTGCTGGCGCGGCGCCTGCAGGCGCTGTGCACCATGGCGCCGCCGCAGCTCTCCATGCAGCCGCACTACGAGGCCGCCTTCGGGCTGCGGGCGCTGGTGCCGCTGGTGCAACGGGCGGGCGCCGCCCGCCGCCGCCACCCGCAGCGCGGCGACGACGAGGTGACGGGGACGGGGAGGAGGGGGCTCTGGGGACAGGGAGTGATGGGGACCGGGGACCCCCCGGCATGGGGACGACGAGGTGATGGGGACAGGGAGGAGGGGGCTCTGGGGACAGGGATCAATGGGGACCGGGGACCCCCCCGGCATGGGGACCCTGTGACGTGGGGACAGGGAGCACTGGGGACACGGGACACCCAAGGGCTGAGGACACCAGGGGACAAGGACCCGTGGGGACTATGACCGGGAAGTGCCAGCAATGGGGACGATGGGAACAGGGCCCCCCTCGGGGACAGGGTGGTGGGCACCCTGGGGACCTGTGGGACCGCGTCCCTCGCCAGGTGCTGCTGGAGGCGGCGGCGGCGGCGCTGGAGCCAGCGCTGGCGCCCGAGGACGTCGCCCCCTTCCGCGCCCTCCTGCGCGACCTCTTCCCGGACACGCAGCCGCCGGCGGGCGCCGCGCCGGGCGACACCGCCAGCGCCCGCGGGGACGGCGACGTGGACGGGGACCCCGAGGGGGACGGGGCCGGCGGCGGCACCGATGAGGAGGACGAGGAGAGCAGACAAGTGAGGAGGGCCGGCACCGGCCACGCCCCCCGCGGGAAGGCCACGCCCCTACAGACAGGCCCCGCCTCCTCCGTGGCCACGTAGGCGCCACCTCTGCAGCGGGACCCACCCCTCTGGCTGGCCACACCCCCACAGGCCACACCCCCTGCAGCCAAGCCCCGCCTCCCCGCTGCTGAATGGGACCAGAGCCTGGCCCCGCCTCCTTCAGCCTGGCCCCGCCTCGTCCTGCCCGACCCCACCCCCAGAGCCACACCCTGCCCCA